CCGTCGCATATTCGCCACAGTGCATTGCAGCTCTTGAAATATTGGGGGGGGGGCGGGGGGGGTTGGGGTTTTTTAACCGAATTCGGAAAAAAATATCTCTTTCTTAGGCGCCGTCCATAAATGACGTCACGCGATTTTGGACGATTTTTGACCCCCCACCCCTCGTCACACGGCGTCACAAAAAGTCAGACCCCCCCTAAAATATGACGTCACAAAGCTCTGCCCCCCCCCCCAAAAAATTATATTAAAAAAACATGCTTCAAATCGCTTTAAACTATTGTCATTGTAGTGCGTATTTAATGTGGCGCTGCACTCTGATGTTGTCGGAAAAACATTTATTGAAAAATCTATTTAATTAAGTAGAACGTGTTGTCTATATATTCATTTAAAGTTGCGCATTTTGATGTGACGTCACATTTCTCCCCCCCCCCCCCCCTCGTCACACATCGTCACAAATGTCTGACCCCCCCCCCCTAGGTGCGTGACGTCATTTATGGACGGCCCCTTATGTTGGTTTCCCGCCCACCCCTGCTTTTGGGGGCAACGTACAATCGTGAAAACGCGAGCACAGCGCCCCGAGTGGCCTGCAAGCGACCAGCAGTTGTGACCTAACCCGAACAAGGAGATCAGAAGCTAAATAAGCGGGCGATAAATCCCTCCCTGACAACATCTGTACCTTTCGATTTAAAGCTTTCGTGACTGCAGGGATTCATATTCTTGGTTCTTTCGGTAAAGTCACGTAGAAGGGAAATTTCAGACGCTGTCTTCTTGACAGACCTGTTTCTTCACCTGAGGACGGCTGCTTGCGTTGTGGCCGAAACGTCGTGAGAATTATTTTATTGTTTAATTTTTATTATTTTATTACTTCCCTTCTACGTGACTTTACCGAAGGAACCAAGAATAAGAAACATCTGTACCTCTGTATGAAATCAGACACGTACAGCTCTATACGCATAATGTCAGCCACAAGGCTTCCTGGGAGTTCGTAATTCCATACGCAACCAGTGTCTCATCCGCAGTCAATGCTTGCTCGGAAATGCTGATGGTCTGCCAGCTGTTCATCGTGACGGACCCTCTTCCATTAGATGCAAGTCCGAGTTCGACGCAAACTAGAATGCGCAAACGTGCCCATTGGCGCGGTGTGGAGAATATAAGAAACAACTCAATAAAGCAGGTTGACAATGCGCCTGGTTCACGTATCTTTCCGTCCACATAATTAAAAATGCATTTTTAAACATCCCATCCCGTGCATACGATAGTTACAAACACAGCACGGTGCAGTACAGCGTTTGAAATGTCTCTACTAGAGGTCACCATCATCATCATCATCAATCGGCCCTCATCAATTCACCGCTGAACGAAGGCCTCCCAAAGACGTTGCCATCTCCCATGTAGCACCGGACAATGTGCTGATCTCAATGCTCCATCTCAGCGATGGAGGTCTTCTTCCTCGGACGCGATTTTTTCCCCCCGTTGGCTGCCACTCCGCCGCTACCCTCGCTTGCTCGTCGTGATGTCACCCCTTCTCGTGGCGTGTAATCCTGCCCAAGCTGACCACTCACTTTTCTCAACAAAGCTATGCTGCTGGTGGTGCTGGTGGTGATGATGCGCCTGCGTTGGCAGTGTTCCAACAAGCAGAGTACTCCCACAACAGCCTCAACACATTCTAGATTTGAAGTTTTCGTGACTGCAAGGATCCATACTCTTTGGTTCTTTCGGTAAAGTCACGTAGGTAAAAATAAATATAGATAAATTAAATCACGACGTTTCGGACGCAACACAAGCCTCCGTCATCAGGTGGGAAACCACAGCAAAAAACAGTTGCTGAAGTTGGCGCCTACTTCAGCAACTGAAACGTCGTGATTTAATTTATTTGTATTTATTTTTACCTACGTGAGCCTCAACACACTCATCAATAGCACTGTCGCCGACTAATGTAAATATATAAAGGTCAACGTTTTGAGCAATAGCCTTTATTTATATATATTTTTTTCAAGGTCAACATGACGTCTCTAATCCACGTGTTCCTCTTCTTCTTTGTCAGTGTAATGCACCGCACGTGCCTTTCCACGCTGCTGCTCAGTAAGCATGCCAACGTTGAACCAACGTTCCATGTGCACTGGGTCTGCGCACCCTTACACTTCCACATCTACAACAGCAAACCTGTCAACCCCTTATCAGTGCCCCTACCTTAATACAGACCAATTCAGACCTTATTGGTCACCCCATCCCACTTATAAATCTCAACGTTCATCCTACAAAGTCCCATCACAAGGGAGAAACACAAATAGACAAAATGTGCCCCTATTGAAACGGCTGTACGCAGTATGGACCTGAAAACTCAATTTCCCTGGACAAGAATACGGATAAACCGTATGGATTGACAGCTATGCAATAGTGTCCATGTTTCCAGACCCATGGCATTGCGCTTAAATTAAAATAAAAGTATCGCATGTTTCAATAATGGCATTTCATTATGAATATTAGCACGGGCATAAACACATTTGCCGAAATGCTAACAAATCGTGTTTTTTATGCATTACAGGCTTGATAAATCCATTTGTTCAAACGGTTGAGCCAACATCACATTGCCACTAGAGGTCAGTAAAAGGCCACAAATTCGCTTCTCCCAAATCAGAGCGTTCTTTAAGTACGGTGCATTTTTTTACGAATTACGTTCAAGATATTCAATAAACAGTGGGTTGCAAGCAGTAAACCAAGATGACTTACCAATGATGATGCATTTAATAACTAACAAAATAAATACATCGCAAAGTGATTTTATTCCAAACATCCCATCAACCACACACGGTAATTCCGGGAGTGCACACACATTTCTATCAGCCTTGCTTGAACCTGTGCTGCACGTGAACAGCCAGATATTTAAAGGCAAAGACCCCCTCTATTAATAACTAAGAGTGCAATGAATGTGTTGCTGCTTTATTTGACTAGACGAAGAGAAAGACTGCACGTGAAATGCAGACTAAGGCTTGATTCATATTCCACAGGTGGTCGTAGACGAGACGAATCCTGACTAAAGTGAAACGATTTAAAGCTTTCGTGACTGCAGGGATTCATCTTCTTGGTTCCTTCGGTAAAGTCACGTAGAAGGGAAGTAATAAAATAATAAAAATAAAACATAATAAAATAATTCTCACGACGTTTCGGCCACAACGCAAGCAGCCGTCTTCAGGTGGAGAACAGGTCTGTCAAGTAGACGGCTGCTTGCGTTGTGGCCGAAACGTCGTGAGAATTATTTTATGTTTTATTTTTTTATTATTTTATTACTTCCCTTCTACGTGACTTTACCGAAAGAACCAATTAGATCAAAGTGAAACGCATTCTAAATTGACATTACTTCCGAGATCAATACTTTGTGTGCAGAATCAATGTGCAATATTTAAACTAATATTTAAACTAATATCACCATTCATGCCTCAGCATATCGAATTCGTTATGGGGCCCCCTTATTAAGATCACACCTTGAGACTTGTTTACAACCAATATTCACAGATCACGCACAAAGTGAAAGCGCTAACCGCTGGCAGTGGGCGCTGCACAAACATAAACTCGCCACGGTCGTAACACAGTCTTACAAATGACAGTATATGTAAATAACTAATATTTGAAAACACTTTTTAAAAATACGCTTTTATGAAATGTACCGTTCTAGTAATGGTAGAACTCCACGACTCCAGGAAGTGGCCCCGAAGCTTGGCGTAACGTAAGTGGCCATGGTCAATTACAGCCAACGTCAGCTTACCGTGGACAATTAGACCCAAGCCGAAACATAACATATAAAAAATAATGTTAAAAAATATTTATTTTTTATTTTTTAATGATAGAATATAGTATTGTCATCAGTATGACATAAGTACACAAAGTTTGCAGTCGATACCACATTGGGAAGTGGGTTAAAATTGAGTTGCAATATTTGAAGATACAACAGACAGTGAGTTAATAGAAAGCGTGTAAAAATATATCTAAAAGAATGTTTAAAAATATTTGCTTTTTTATTTTTTAATGATAAAATATTGTATTATCATCAGAATGACATTAGTATACCATGTTTACAGTCAATACCACATTTGGAAGAATGTAAAAATTGAGTTACAAGATTTGAGCATACAACAGAGTTAATCAAAAGCGTGTAATAATAAAATAATAATAATAAAAAGGCTGACTTTTGGGGTACAGTAATGGCTCATCTACACATCAAAGGGCATAGTCATGCGTATTCTGGCAAGGAGGTGTTATTGACTAAGGTGGCGGCGAGTGGTTCTTTTGTTCCGAGTTTGGAGAGCACACGCACATGTTTGCACGTAACCACGCCGAGATGGCACGTTTCCATCACTTGCAGTGCCCTCGTGAACCCGCTCCTGGATTGGAGGCCTCTATTCTCCACGCCGCGTCGGTGACGGGGTGGGGGGGAATTTCTACGGTGCCACATTCACCACGCTAAGTCAGTGCGTGTTGGTGAAGTGGCAGGGGCTGGTGGGTGGGGGGGTCAAAGGGTCAGAGCCAGTTCATATGAAACTCGCCACTGGTGTTAGCCGGGAATGAAAACATAGAGGATGGTTTAATCGAACAGCGTGCAGACTATGTGTTTTTTTATTTTACCAGGTATGAGCTATATATCTATTTTTTTAGAAGCGACCTGGTCACAAATGATAGCTCAACGAAAGTGGCTAATCTTGTGGAAACGTAAAGCAGCCAAATGCTCTAAACGCACGTTTCTAGATGGGGAGGGAAAAACCGGAGGATCCGGAGAAAAATCCACACGACCACGGAGAGAGACACGCAAACTCCAAATATACAGCGCAGGCGTCAAGGTCGAACCTACGACCTCCTGTATACCAGGTGAGGTAGTTAACATCTCCTAGCCACCCGCTGGAGGCGCCACCAATCCACCCCGATGTGTGCATAATCATGATGGAAATACCGCGCGGGTTGAACTAAAACTTCGGTGGTCAAGTGATAAACGAGTGGAGGTCAGTTCATTAATGTCAACAATGCTTTATTTTTGTACGTGTTCCATTCGCCGCGCGCAGTGTTTAAAAACAAAAACATTACGGGGAAAGCGAGCCCCCGTGTGAAGGCGCAACATCAACATCACAGGTGATGATCGGCGTTGACAGGCAGCACCTACATCATCGCCACCGCAACCTAAACTCGACTGCACAACAGGTTGGGGATACTGCACGCGATGGCATTTGTCGTGATTCAGGCTGTATCACCCATTCATCCTCGCGTACCGCACCGACACGTTTCATTAAAAAAAACCTGCATGAAGCGAGCCAAAGCACCTTTGTTTAATATCCAAATACATTTCGATCATAAGCAGTTGGTCCACGGTTGAGCATGGCCAAAGCTGTTTGTGTCACTACTCCCCGCCAATGCACCCGAGTGGGGGGGGGGATGCATTCTCGATTTTCGGACTAATAAAAACAATCCGCAGAAATAGAGCCAAAATAGGACATTTAGAATTGTACGAAATGTGTTTTCTTTTCGGATTGACGTGGAATGTGACGTCACGGCAAGATGCGTCACTTCTCGTGTCCACTCTTTTCCTGCGCGACGTCACTGTTGTCCGCACGAAGCCGTGTTAAACTAAACACCGGTGTCAATTATAACACGAACATCCGAGGGGAAAAAACAAACCACAAATTTACACCATTGGAACCTCATTTGCCAGTAAAAAAATATGATAATTGTTTTTTTTTTACCCTTGGACCAGATGACGCCAAAAGGCGTCGCCTGGTCCAACCCATGTGAGACTAGGCTCTAAGGAAAGCTGTCTCGGGTGTGGACCAATCAACTTCAAGGACAGTGCATACATTATCGGAGTTATGTTTTTTGTTTGCATTATGACTGCAGGTATTGTGGTCTATGCAAACATGACTCCTTGTAAAAAAAGGTGTCAGTTTTGTTGCCAGATGGAAGGGTAAAAAAACAATTATCAAACCACAAATTGTCCTTAAAAATCCAGACATTGGAAACCCTGTGCCCACTTTCTACCCTGTGCCAGATCTCTCCGATGCTGCACGGTAGAGAAACCCGATTTAAACATTGATCGCGTCCGGTTACAAATATTCAACTTTGGCAGGCTCTCCCCAATCCCGACCCTTGCGATCCTCCACCCAATCGCCTGCGCATGTTTAGAAATCTCAATTCAAATATCAAATAACTCGTTACACACCGCGTGCACATCAGCGATTTGGAAAGTGGGATACATACGTAACACCTCTTAACTTGATTAGACTCGGCACACTACCTCAATAAAGTACGTGTTTAACAATCATCAGACTCGTGCAGTGGGTAACAGTTTTTTTTATATAAATGAGATTGTTAAAGATGGACAGGTGCCACCGTTGTTGGTAGGTGGTGAGGACGGGCGTTTTCGTGACCCTGAGTGGCAGGCTCGATGTGCAGAACGATTTCGCCTTTCCGTGGTGGATTTAAGAGGCATCGCTTTCTGAAAACTTTCAGATGTGCATCAAGTGGAGCGTGTGACGTACTGTGATTTTATACGTTTCACTCTTGATTGCATTATCAAATGATGATATTTGAAACGATACATTTCAATGCAAAACTGAGCATATACGTTACATATCAGGCACTGACACAGAACACTAAAAAAGCTGGCAGTCTGCTCGAGAACACAACATAATTTGCAAAGTCCATTGTTAAGAAAATCAACAATACATCAGAACCCATAAATTAAAAACGTTTTTTGAAAGTGAGAGCGTTCATCTTTTCCGATAAACATGACATTCATAATGAAACAAAGCTAAGCACAAACAATTACAATCTGAGCATGCTTCCCAATAACTTGCTTTCACATCATGTCACGAGTCCGCACTGGTTACCTTGAACCCAGTCTCCAGGTTAACAGGCAAGCGATGCGTTCCCACTTTCAGATTAATTAAAAAAGGTATGAAAATTGAGCGAAGATTTTAAAAAAATTATGTCGAAAATTAGCCAAAAACATGACTACGTTACTTTACCGAAAGAACCAGAAAGTATGACACCGCTGGAAGAGACGTCACTTTCATCATGTCACTTCTGTGCTTTTCCCATGAGAAATGGTGTCACACGGAACCTATGACATTACTTTTGTTAGCACGATTTTTTTTGTTAATCTAAGTTAGTAATGTCAATTATCTGCACGTCCCAAAAATATGTGAAGTTGTCCTTAAGAATCCAAAGATGATCAATCTGAAACCGATTTCGACTGCCAGCACCACATTAAAATGCCCTTCTCGTTGGTTCGATGTGCAGCAACAATTACAGAGGTTATCGTCACAAGCAAGCAGTCTGCATCCCATATTTACCGAAACGATCACACACAATCAGCTCCCTGTAACCATTACTCACGAATGACCATTGTCACAAAATTAACGGGTTAATTAAATGGTACCTGGTCCCATCTAATACTTGAAAGGCCATTTTAGCTGCATCGTCATCCATTGTAGGTCCACCTGGCCCACACACAAAGTATTTAATATCAAGGCTGGTTGATCTCATGAGATGTCAAGTAATAATGAGATTTGCTATCAAAACAGTATCACATTGTAATTATATCTGCATGGCGATCAATATTACATACACCAAACCGATCTACAGTGAGCCTATAATAGGCTACTGGTTGAAGTTTTGTACATACTTTCGTTAAAAAAACTTGCTATTTCCATCATATGAAAAACTGTAACGTAATAAAAGGCTTTAAAAAACGTTACTGCAAAAGTATCGTGGGTTATTTGTATGGCTTAATTTGTAACATAATGGCTTGATGTGAGCCTATGCCGAACACTACTTTAAAATATTTGTCACGATTTCCCTTTGACTGCTCACATTATTACTTAAAAGTAATGCAGTGGGGGGGGGGGGGGGGATTATTTCTGGCAATTGTCACCAGTGACTTGTTCACCATGAGCAACTAAGAAAACTCACTACAACAATGGAGGTAACCAAGCCAATAGAAGCAGAATGTTAAACTGACACATGATGAGCACATAACATCGGTTGCCAGAGCACACACAATGTGACCTCTGTGACCCGATTCAAAGTTGCCTTCCAAGTTTCTCACCGGGAAAAGCGTCGATGAGATGCCGAGATTCGGGCAACTGTTTTGTTTTACAGTTTAGAATCTGTTGCAGCATCTGTAGGCAGAAAAATGTTGCAGCTACTGAGACCATTGGTGGCAACAATTGCCCTAAAACTGCCCGAATGTATCATTGTCGCTATCAGTATTCTGCATGTAAATATTCACCCCGCCTCCACCCTTCGGCATTGCAATTCAATTCAATCATCTTTACTATTGTTTCTCATTTCATTTCTCTTCTTTGTTGGCCTAAATGAGATATCATAGCATTAACATACATCGTAAATAATAGTTCAATGCACCTGTCATGAGCATAATAATCAGTCTTAATCGATACATTAATGCATCCTTGGGTTGCGACCTCTGAGGTTTAAAAAAAAAAAAAACAGGGCATATCATGGGAAGAATATCTATGAAGATTATAGGAGGGCAGAACGACATGCAAATGCATTGCCTTGAGCAGTGCATTATGTAACTGAGAAAAATGGGGAAACGTAATGACTCGCAGATTTCTCAGGACCGCAGCGACCTCAATAGGTCGATGCTGGGAAAAACCAGGACATGGTGACATCCCTAATGCACCCTCAATGCCTAATTGGTTGACGCTGTTTCACAGCTAAGTGCGTGAGAACAGTCGGTCAGCGCTAGATTCAATATCACGGTTGCTGAGCCATCTCACAAGGGCATACGAAACCATGAAATTTAAGTGCAACCAACGTAATTATCTGTGGCTGCAGTGGTGTGTAATTAATTTTAATTTTGAGTTATATTCTTCTTAAAAGTGTTTCATGGTGTGGGGATTTTAAATGAACGAACACATACACACACCAAAGCATGATTTAATATCTGGCACTGCCTGCGGACTAATTTAAAATGAATTTTTTTTGTTAAATAACCAAATTTGAATCCACTCCAAACGAGACACTCAAATCTGGGTGGATTCAAAACAGCAGCAGCAGCAGTTACAACAGCGACATCGTCACGTGGGTTGTCATAACAAACAGCAGAATCGTCACTGAAATACCCAATACGAAGGCACTTAATATATCTGCAATAAACAAGAAATGTAAGGCGGGTAGATGGAATACCATTATTTTTCAACAACTGAAGGCTCGTACATTTGTTCCGTGGAGTATTATATATAATAAAAAAAAACATTACAGTCTCAGACAGAGAAGAGGTTTTTTTTTTTCAAGAACATTACATAATGCCAATGAGTGCGTTCCAAAGCCGGAAGGCTATGGAGCCGTTATGCGCACTTGTGTGTTTTTCATATAGTTATCTTTCAGTTAAAAAAATATACGCCTATCAGTTCGATAGTACATTACAACAATATTTGATGCTTCAACTTTGTTTCATCTTTAAAAAAAAAAACTGTCAGGCACACAAACGGGAAGTGAAGGTTTTCAGAAAGAAATATTTAATATGTCGACTCGAACCTAACATCAGTGCACTTGTGGCACCACATGATTGTTACGTAAAGATTGGGCTTTTAAACAAGCCTAACATTACCTTTTGTCCGAGTCGACAACATCTCATTCAGAAACCATACCCCAACCGTCCCATATAGACCGTAGCTACTACGGTGACCATGGTGGTAAATAAACACGCTCTCCATTCAACATTCACCTGTGCTCAATTTTAATATTTGTACATATTTAAAAGGAAACATTCCTCTTTGCAATTTCTGAAATTGCGTATCGCCAAATAAGCACCGTGGTAGAACAAATGGATTGCAATCGGAAGTTTTCGAGTTAAAATTCTGTTTGGGCGGTTGACTCAGCCCATCACTCCTCTGGGGTAGGGTAACGTATGTACCACCTTGTGGGGAAGACAACAGTGGTTTTTCTACGGGCAGACTCACCCCTGCCATAGGTATAAGGAATTCCCACCACCGGCTCAGAGCTGTAAACAATAGATTAGCACTACCTCAATGCTTATTTGAGCAAGTTATCACTCAGAATGTTTTTACACAGTACGGAGGGGTGTTTTGCGTTTTTTGTTGAGCTGTATATATCTCTCTGTTGTGTTTTCGGATAATGCCATGTGCAATCTGCTCCAGCACGTAGGGTGAAACGTCGGATAACACGCCAAACACACGGTACAACCCACAAACACAACATAGAACTTATACAGAAAATGGTATAAATATTTTAAGTGCTATCCATCGCAACTGTTTTACTTTCACAGGCTGTTCCTTGGTGTATGTTCGTAGAATATTATTTATACACTGCGGTATTTAAAATACCAATTAGGTAAACACATTTCCCAACAAGGAAACAACTTCAAATGCCACGTTTCATTAAACAAATGCTAATCAAAATGAGAGTCAAACTTAGACTGACATTATTTCTCTTCACTGTTATATAATGATACCGTATGCTCAGCTCTGTGCTACAGTTTGAGATGTTTGACTTTAAAAGTCTAAAATATTTTGCTCAATTATTGAATATAAAACGTCACATATAATGTATTACTCATATATAGAGCATAAAAAAACTAAAAATATTCAGTGTATTATTAGACATAACCCCTTTGAAAATTCGTCTAATTATGAAAAAAGGTAAAAATATTGTATCTTTTACTATTCTCTGAAATCAAGCTCCCACACAATTGCCATATTCTCCACATAATAAGACACATTCTTCCCACGTTTATTAAAGCAAAAGTTGGGGGTGTATCCTGGCAAGTGTGTGTGCGCGTGTGACGATTACGTCTTACTCTGCAAAGCGTCGTACAATCTGGCGAATATGGAAACACCCCCGTAACTGGGCCAGGATCACTGGCAGACTTTCCACAAGGAAAAAACTTGAAGCAGGGCTCACCCAGGGCCCCTAATGCTCCTTGAGCTTGTTGTGGTTGGAGTCCTCGAGGTGAGGGGCGTTCGTGTCGGCCGTCCGCCACATGGCGAGCGAGAAGGCTGCGATGAGGCCGAGGTTCAGGCCCACGGCCAGGCCCAGAGCCGCCATGGACTGCGTGAAGTAGGAGGCCTCGGAGCCCACGTTGGTCAGGAGCCACGCACGCCGCAGACCCATGTCGTCCGCCACCGCCTCCAGCTGCACGTGGGTGCCCAGCACCGCGCTCACGTGGAACAGCTGGTGGCTGTGGCCTGCAAGCGGGGCGAGGCGGGGGGGTGGGAGGGGGGGCATGAAGACCACAATGAAAATAAAACGAGAACCCACAAGACGGGAACTGATAATTGGGTTTTTACCCTTCTATCTGGCAACAAAACTAACAACTTTTTTACAAGGAGTCATGTCTGCATAGACCACAATACCTGCAGCCATAAGGCAAACAAAAAACATAACTCTGATAATATATGTTTTTTGTTTGCATTATGGCTGCAGGTATTGTGGTCTATGCAAACATGACTCCTTGTAAAAAAGGTGTCAGTTTTGTTGCCAGATAGAAGGGTAAAAAAACAATTATCATATTTTTTACTGGCAAATGAGGTTCCAACGGTGTAAAGACGGGAACTGGTGATGGTTTTTGCATAACGCACAAAGGCCGAGTGCTTTTTCAACCTTTTTGAGAATTGTAGTTTGAAACGCGTGGCTTTCCGACCTATTCACTGGCATGATGTTTTTTATTGTCATTTACAGATTATTGTTCGCATCAGGCAAAATGTAAAGATGTGGGTTATCAATGAGGTTACCGTGGACGATTTTCTAAAGTGGCGTCGCACTGCTCTGAGAATTCCTCATGGATTCTTTATCTCATAGCACAACGTGGAAAGCATGGGTACAGAATTAAAGCTCTGCCCTGCCACTGTTGGCAGAAGGGCCTGAAGTGGAGGCAGCTCCAGTAGAGGTCTCTGGCGTACGCCTTTTGGCGTCCTCTGGTCTAACAACATTTAAGACGAGGCTGAAAAGAAAGCTGTCTCTGGTGTGGACCAATCAGTTTCAAAGACAATGCATATATTATCAGAGTACGTTTTTTGTTTGCATTCGGACCACAAGTATTGTGGTTAATGCAGACATGCTTCCTTGTAAAAGGTTTCAGTTTGGTGTTCTAACATCTTAACACCTGTTTTGTTGCCAGAAAAAAAGGGGAAAAGCTATTCTCACCGATGGTGCACTCAGCCAGTAATTCCGGGCAATGACCGAATTCACACACCGTCTATTATCACGAGGGCAGACAGAGCTGGTTGGCAGCGTTAACACGTAGTAGTAGGTTTTTTCCCTTTCAACTGGTACAAAAACTGACACCTTTATACAAGGCATCATGTTTGCAATAACCACAACACAAGCAGTCAAAATGCAAACAAAATGAAACAACTCTGATGATGATAATGATATGCACTGCCCTTGAAGTTGATTGGTCCACACCCGAGACAGCTTTTCTTAGAGCCTAGTCTCCATTGGTGTTGGACCAGATGACGCCAAAATGCGTACAACTCAAAGACAGCGCACTATCAGAGTATTGAGAGCTCGGGGTAAGCATTTACACTATGAGACATCTCCTTTACCAGCGCTAACACGTGTTCGACGAGCCCCTTCGAGGGCGCAAAGCGTTCTCGGCACGTACACACCGACATAGTCGAAGCGCCCAGGGAGCAGACGCTCGGGGAGGTGCATGGAGAAGAGGCACGCGGTGAGCACGGCGAGCAGGATGTGTGCGTAGTGCCACGGGAAGGTCTCGTTTTGAGAGCAGCCTTCGCCCGAGCAGAGGAACACCTGCGGAGGCGGCACGCGCGCGCGCACCCACACCGCTCGCTCAAGCGGCCGCATTGTCAAGCATCACGGCACAATTTTAATTTCCACGATACGACGCTCATCGCTTTGTCCGTTTGCTACAAATGTGCGATTGTGCCCTACGGTTTTATTGAATTAGTAGACTTTTGTGAGGATCAGTGTGTGGATGAAGGTGATCAATACATTACATTTCGGGAGAGCAGTGGCACAGTGGGTTAGTGCACTGCACTACGAACCTGTCAGTCTCAGTTAAATTCCTGACCTCGGCTAACAACAGTGGTATAATAATAAATCGTTTATTCAGACACTCACATTCAAGTAAGTCAGAGCAGCCAACACAGCGGAGAAAGGTGGTAAGGGCTACAACACATTGCCAAAGAGGAGGAAAGAGAAGGGGGGTCAGATAGTGCTGTTCTAAACAATATAATGGAAGGTTTTAGTTTTACACAGAGTTGTTAATGCCAATTGCATGTCACAATTGCCGAGCAACCACAGACATTCTGGTGGGCAGTCAGGCAGTGAGCTGGTGCCAACAAATGCCCAAGCTCTGCAGTTCTTTATATATTAATATGTTTTAAGCCAAATAAGAGTTTGTTTTCTTTCGAAACCGTCTTGGGCTCCGTGCCTTCACCAAACCACACTGACCAGTGTGGTGAAATATGGTCAAGAAAGCTCCCACACTTTGATTGTTGCGATTATATTAAATCCACATTGAGCAGCATCGTTTGTGAGTGAGCCTGTCCAAATACTTCAGTGCTATGTATCATACATTCAAGAAAATATAATTGATGTGTCTTCTCCTGACATGACATACGGATCAGAAACACAGACATTGGCGAATATAATGGAACACAATCTGAAAAGTGTGGAAATATTCATGGAGAGGTGTATGCTTGGATTAGCACAGATAGAAGAGGAGCATACGGAGTAGAGAACAGGTGCAGATTAGAGACAATGAATCGACCGTGAAAATAAGTGGGCTTGGGCAAGGCCGTTGGTCGAGACGAACAGTGACGTGCCAGCCAAAGGAAGGAACGCGTCCCAGAGGAGGGCCACCATGGAGATGGAGCGAGTAAATCCGTACGTGTGCGAGTCAGATGAATTGTTGAAGTGCAAGACCGTGCGAAAGAGGTACATCTTAGGGAGTGATTCATCCAGGAGTGGATCATGGTCGATGATCATGATGATGGTGGTAGAAAGGAATTGGAGACCAAGATAGAGTATTGATGTCAAGCTATGTTTGACCGATGAACTTTGATGTAGGTCAAGAAACCATGGCCAAATTGTTCATCGTGCTAATCCTATAGTTGGGGCGGTGGTGCAGCTTTCAACTTGACATCCTGAGATTGATTTCCGGCTGTGGCATTAGTGGCGAGTAATATCTGAAAAAGTCCTGGGCCCCATTTTTACGAACCTGTACTGACCAGCGTGGTCAAGTATGACTCACATGCTGTGAGGGAGACTTTAATTCAGCAGTGGATTGATGCAACAATGATTGGGGTTTTAAATACCTCTGCAAACTATCTTCCCATGTCCAGTTTCCTGTGGTGAGATTTGGGAATAGTCATGGACAAGTTTTGTCGCAAGTGGAGTGGTTGTTTTTTGGAGAGGGGAGAGGAGTTAAAACCATGACATTTCATGGGCATTTCCTGGTATATCCGCTCTGCAGTGTGTCTCGTTAACGTCCCTCCGGTTGAACTTCGTGATGCGATGGACGCGTTGGCAAAATTTATCCCTGCGAGTGTATCCACAGTCTGCTCTACAGCGCAGAATGTGAGAATGACTAACGGAGCAATCTGTGTGTACCTGCTGCATATATTAAAAATGCATTTCACACGTCAATCACCTACCCTGTAAAATAATGGAATGTTGTCGAATAAATATGGGCAGAAGAAAGCTAAAATGCGAAGAAGTTTGCTAAAATGCGGTTGATCAAGCTCCGTGAACCTGAAGAGAAAGAGAATCATATATTAGTAATGCCGTTTATTTCATCCCTAAACATTCTTGATGTGTTATTGTATTCTGACATATCTCACAGATTAAAGCACAATGATATATTTAATTGTTTCACAAGCAGAATGGCACCAATTTATCAACTGGGTTGACAGTGTGCCAAGGTCCTGGTGCCAGCCTTTATTAACAATAGACATCACACTCCTCTCCTTACAAACAAACGTCAGACTCCGCTCTGGTGATTTATGAAAAAACGTATTTACAATTCTGTTCACAGCAGCAGGCACACAGGAGAAGAAACGCCGAACAACACGCGCTCAGGCTCAGTTCAACGTAACCGCTCATTTACATCTCCCTGACACGGCAGGTTTACAATTAACCCTCGGCGATGAATATGAACCTGTGAGACTGCTGCACAGGTGAACGGTGTTCAACTTGAAATAATCCATCCTGTGTCTGGGAAGCAATGGCCCGGCTTGGGTGTATGGAAGGAGTAAATCTCACAGGACCACAAGCTGGATGGATAGCACATCTGAAGTTATTCTTTTTTTTTTTGCACTTAAAAATATATATTTTAACGATAATTATTTTGGGACACTTGATGATATTGCACAGGATACAATTGTGAGAACTTACCAAAGCTGTCCGCGCAAGCAAAGACAGAACAAGAGAGTACGTAACGGAATATAGGTTGAATTTGTAGATAACGCAGTGGTCCAATTTGCATGCATTAGCATTCACTAAATGGCACATGCCAAGCGAAAGACACATTTCACGGTATGCGGCGCCATCTGCTAAAAGCCGTACATTTAAATGAACAGTGCAGGGCGAACTGTATTAGAGCTGCCACTTGGTACGTCAGTCTGTCGCGAGTATGCGGCACTCTGAGCGAAGCTATAATCTAAAGGAATATACGGGAACAATTGCGTTTCCATAAAGTGGGTAATCTTGGATGTGCTGTGCCATCTACACCATTCTTCCGTCACAGGGTAAAAGGTTTTGAAAGGTCAAACCAACCATTTTCAAAGTGAGGCTACGATTTGGAAATGTATTTTTAGGAGCACGTTCACAAGCTCTGGTTTATTTAGTGAAGCTCCGTGAGCAACTAGACTCGAACAAGCAGGGAGATGCGTGTACAGCACCATCTCTACTACGAGATGAGACGGCCGGGAAAGCTCAGAACTTTAAATACCCGGTGTGACATTTTTTTTTCCGGAGCAAGTCGCAGGCAAAGAACATTTTTGGCCAAACCCAGGGGGACTCATTTGCGCGATTGTCCCTTCCTGGCAACCCGTGAACTTCCTTAATAAATCTCAGGAGAATCCCTCAAAGATTTAAAGCTTTCGTGGCTGCAGGAATTCATATTCGTTGGGTCTTTCGGTAAAGTCACGTAGATAGGTTAAAAGAAAAAGTAGTTTTTTGTTATTTTTCTTTTAACCTATCAACGTGACTTTACCGAAAGACCCAAAGAATATGAATCCCTCAAAGGTTCTGTTCTGCTAATGGAGCTCCACCCTGCATCCACAGCTCTGCCACAGCTCATCACGATGAATATCTCTGACTACGTCAGTGGATTATGTGCTTATTTAAAACAAAAACGGCCATTGGGCAGCCCGGACTGACATTCATCCTCAAATCCTCACCATCAGGTGGCTGAACACTGAAAATAAATGGGCAAACAACAGAAGAGATGTAATCCATGCTTATGAACTCTATTTTATTTGTAACCACCACACTCAATTTATCCACGGGCCTTTATGCCTGTACATAATCCAGTAATTACTATATCATCATTATTCTCTCTGGGTTTTTTTTTAATGTATTATGCCCAAGAAATGAATCATCGTTCTGGTTGGGCTACACAAAGCAGTCGCAGAACGCTGGCACGGTAGGGGGGGTTGGCATACCTTGAGTAGCATGCCAGCGACGTGCAGAGGAGGGAGTTGATTACGGCCGTGGGTACAAAGTACGCATGAAGGGTGCCGTGCACCCACTGCTCAGGGAATATGTACGCGGCATATGCAATACCAGAGCCTGGAAAGGATAATGGGCAGACGAAGCAGCAGGTGAGTTGCTTTGGGACATTATTTTCCAGACAGCCTAAAAAGTTTTAATATATACGGGTTTTTTAAAATTTTAAACATGCAAGCTGCGCCGAAGGTTATTCCTGAGCGAAATTTGGCATGCCGTGTCAAAAGTGTGGCCTCGTTATGCCCAACTCGATTACGAGGTTTGTACGTTTAAAAATAAATTAGACATTTGTTATTCCACTGCTGGATGAAGGCCTCCCCGTACCGTAACGTGTTGGTTGTGGAGGTTGTGCGACCCATATTTAATCACATTGGTTGGTGCAGGTTGGTAAGGGGAGGAGGACCCAGATCTGGTTAGGATATTACTCGCCACTGATGTTGACAGTGGTCAGGAATTGAACTAGTTGAGCGGCCCGGGTTCATATCGGCAGTGTGATAACCCCGCTGCACCACCATTCCACCGCAATGTGTGTATAACCTTTATCAAATGTGCAATTGCTGCATTCATCTTCTTGGTTCTTTCGGTAAAGTCACGTAGAAGGGAAATAATACAATAATAAAAATTTTACATAATAAAATAATTCTCACAACGTTTCGGCCACAACGCAAGCAGCCGTCCTCAGGTGAAGAACAGGGCTGTCGGAAAGACAGCGTCTGAATGACGTGTGGCCGAAACGTCGTGAGAATTATTTTATTATGTTAAATTTGTATTATTTTATTATTTCCCTTCTACGTGACTGTACTGAAAGAACCAAAAAGATGAATCCCTGCAGTCACGAAAGCTTTAAATCGAAAAAAAAATGCCGCATTGTTTATATTTCACCTACTTTCCAGATTAGAATTTATTGCCAGGGTTTTTAGATTCCGTGGCAGTCTTCCTGTGGGCACTGGGGAGAAAGCAGAATTTCTGTCGGCTCCACGTTGGCAGCCTGTTCCCACATTACAGGTCGTGACCTTCCGAAACTCGGAATGCGCTCATTGCCTTTTACACCAGCTCCAAGTCTGAATCATAACCACTCATTAACTTGGACCATGTATAATTCATAACGTCTTAAACATGAATTTAAACAGAAGGTGCGGTACCTACTGTGTTGAATGCATCCAAGATCATCGTAGTTTATTTTTTGCTGGAAATAACAACGTAAACACCGCATATCTACGAGCGATACGGTTGCAGGTTACTTCAAGAGCATGGATCGTGTTCAGCTTGCTAGACCACATCCAGACAACGCTGACGAAACACATTCTCTAATGTCTCGCATGTGTTCTTGTTGATCCACTCTGTAAACCTACAAGCAATCGTTTCTGTACTGAACTGCACTCGCACATGATACACATTATCTTTTCTACCACCACAAAGACACCGACTTCAATACAGAAACATTTCCAGTTCGTTACCTGAGGAACTTAAAAGAACCCGGCAAGCACAGCACGTAAGGCTCTGTATCTGACATCCTATAAAAGCCGCGGGGCAGTCATTAATCAGTGTCCTTTATCACAAGCATCAGGGTTTTGATCTCTCCTCAGACTCGCACTTTTACAAGCGTACAGTGTTCTCTCACGGGCCATGTATTCATTCCCCCACCGGTGGTGGAGCAACGAGGAGAATAACCGTCTGATTCAACTACCGTGCGATGAAATTATTGTGTGCGATCGCATAACCGGCCGTTCGACGTGCCTTCAAAAATGCGAGTACATTCCTACAGCCAAGTAGGTGGAAGGAGCTGAACACTTCCGCTGTGGACGTCTACCGGGGGAGACGGAGCGATGATAATCGGCTCGTGTGCGATCCTCAGACGGCAGCGGTTTGGAGAGTCCGTCATCCAGCAGTGGATTGACCAAGGCCGATGATAATGAAGTAAAAGCAACAGCCAAGGTGTTTGTAAAAATGACTCCAAATTATTTGGATCCGCTCTCCACCAATCCCACGGTTAATGTGCTTGTTACAGAGCTGCGTCTCCGGCTTGGTGCTGCAACCCGGCGTGATAGTGCACTGACTTCATCACTCTCGCGTGTGTGTGTCATTACACCAGGACAGACTTGCCCGGGTCAATTCGCGGGCTGTTTACACGTTTGTCAAATGCGCCCAAACCAGACGAACAACAAATTGACCGCCGTCAGCAGGGATAATATTATTGAAATGCAGTCATTTGAATTGCCCCGAATCCTTTGCAAGGCACATATATATTTGACAAGGCACCAAATTACTGCATCACTTTAATGCAGCGTATACATTCGATGTATCATAGCCAATCCATATGCAATGACGTGCAATTCCGCGGTATCGTTGCGAATGCCCTGTGACGAATGAACATGCCGCATCCCAGTCGTGCTTTCAGACAGATTTGCAATGCATCAGAATCGAGCACACCAATCATTCAAATCGATGGAAGGATGCATTCGTGATTGCAAATAGTTAGCGTTCGACACACACAGAACTGAGAAGCTCATCATGCTTACTGCCTGCCGGCTACATCCCATTGCCCGCTTGCAGGCTTGTTCTACCTGCACAACACAGAGACAGCTGCCACTGGGGGAGAGGGGGGGGGTGGGTTCCCCGAGGTTAAACTACAGCACGGCATTGCAGTGGCTGCGATGAGATGTGATGTTTAGGCGCCTTTGAGTTGCTTGTGCATTTAAGCGCCCTGTAAATAAAAATTGGGTAAAAATAAACGTACAGCCCCGCAATAACTTTGCTAATGACACTGCTGGAGTGAGGACCTACTCTTCGAACCGGGCCGATGTTTTGGCGGAGGTGAGAGAACTTTACCCACCAAACGCGACCTGCCAAATCTGCTCATGTGGCGCACACACATTTACACTGCTACGTGGACAGAGACGGAATTGTGGTGGGTTGGGGGATTCCAGAATCTCGCGCAATCGTTTCAACCGCCGTGCCGGAAGATGGAGTTGAAGATGGAGTTCAACCGGCGACCGTTGTTTTGCAAGTCCAGTATACGACCCATGAGAGCACGGCAGAATCCCCTACCCTCTCTCGCTCGCTCTCTCCTTGCAGTGTCCTTTCTCACAAGCATCTGCGATCGCGGCCCTCCACCCCTTCCATTTAGCCCTGTCCATGATATTTACTCAAAACCTCTGCGTTAGAGACTCCTCCCGGTTGCATCCATCCAATTGTTCAAACCGCTTATGGTGTAACTTCCCGCGTTGCCTTCCCCCGGCTTCGTGCACCTTACAATTGTCCCAGTCAAAACGTGAAGCTTGTACGTCCCTACACCTACACGATGTACGAATGCAAATCCTCGAGCGCGTGTGCGCGCAGCCCGCACGGACCTAGGCTGTAGAGGCTGAGTGCCGCGTAGTCGAAGAAGAAGCACACGTGCAGGGAGCGCACGGACATGGTGCTGAAAGTGTGGGCCAGACTGGAAGCCAGCAGGTAGAGGCAGCACGTGAGCAGGTAGGCGAGCAGCGGCCAGGTGTACGCCTCTCCCAGGAAGTCGAGTGACTGCGAGAAGCCCAGCAGGCGCCGCATGAAGTAGCTGCGCACAGCGGGTCACGCACAGAGTCAATTCACGTTCGCGCGCGAGCGTGGCAGACGGGCAACGTTTTCCTCCCGGCAGGGTTACTTTATGAACTTTTAAATTTAATAATTTATTTTCTCACAATGTTTATCCCGATTGTGCGACAATGCGTCGTCTCACGAGATGGAGATTCCATTTGGATCTCTTGCAGAGGAGGGTAAGAAAACTCTCTGTATCGGAGATCCGCCGATGAAAATGGATACCACAGAGCTATCTCTTATACAGTCAAGTGACTTGTGTTCCACAGTGTAGGTTGCAAGCACTTTCCCACCCAAACTGCTTTACAGAGAGTACTGTTCATGGGATGCTAATCAAACTGATACATTTGTTTAATGAACAAAGCTGGAATTCAGCCAAAGTAAATGCAGAACAGAAGTTTTCATATATGTTTTTGTATTTAGTCATTGGTGACTGGTCTGGGACCTTCAACTGACCGCACATGGTTTATTCGCAAGCAACTGCATCGATCTAAATTCAGGAACTCAACAGCCGCGAAGTCAGCACTTTGAGCCACCAGGCCAACGCAGACTTTTGTTTTGTACAATTGCAGACATTCTGTGGGCACTAGTTGGAGACTTGAAGAGTAGAAACACCATTAATTGGATGTCCCAGTTGCAACATCAAGTGCATGTCTTTGCAAGCAACAGATCTAAGTTGAGAAACTCTCACTTTTTCCTCAACATATGATCAATGAATGTCATTGTTGTGATTGGGTGTGTCCTTGCTATGAATGTGTTTGAATTATATATAAAAAAAACATACACATCAATGTGGTAATTATCAGCACTCAATTATATATCTGTGGTTTGCATGGACAGATGAGCATAGATGACTTTGCCTTTCATGATGAATTAGGCTTTGAAAAGCCACAAAATAGAATTGCAAAAAAAGTAAAATTTAAAACTACCAATGAGTGAAGCAAGAGATGCGACCATGAGAGTGCATTTGTCACCCGACCACTCAGGATTGTTTTTTTATTTTATTTTCGTGCAATAATAATTTTAAGAAAATGCATATCAAACCCAGCAAGTCACGCATACTCTTTGGTTCTTTTGGTAAAGTCACGTAGGTAGAAATAAAGTAAAACAAATCACGACGTTTCGACCGCAACACGCGCGATCCTCATCAGGTGGGACAACCACGGCAAGAAAATGCTGAAGTCGGCGGGAGAGCAGCCGTGGCAAGAGGTTATACAGGTGTAGAGAAGTTCCGACGGACGCACTCGGAGACGGAAGTAAGTTAAGGGCTTTTGCCAGGGTTTATTAAAGCTGTTACAATCTAACACAAGGGTACACAACTCCCAGGGGCTAGGGCTCCTACTCTGAGTCCGGGTCCCTGCCGGCTCGCTCCGGTCTCTCTCTCTCGTGTCGGATCGGAGACTCTGCCGACTCCACCGACCGGAGAGAGAAGCACCTCTACGGCTACTACCACCGGCTTCTCCCCAGACTCCCTATTCGATCCCTCTCTCTACCCACTGGTTCCCTCTCTCTACCCCTGGTTCCCTCTTCACCCTGCTTACTCTACCCGTTCCCACAGTGACCCCGCTGACGTCACGGGGTCTCCCTTAAGTACCCGAGGAGACGTGACGTCATCGCACTGAACGGCACACCTGACGTCACGTCCCCATTTTACTCCTCTACATTGGTAAGAAAGGGGGGAGGAGGCAAGGAGGGAGAGAGAGAAAGGGGGGAGGAGGCAAGGAGGGAGAGAGAGAGGGTGGGAGGGTGTGGGGCAGGGTGTGGGGGTAGGGCCGCGTGAGCGCTAGGGGAAGAGGACGTGAGGCTGGGGGGGGGGGCTAGAAGTGGGAAGCTGGAGAACAGATAAAATGTGGTAGTAAACCGACAGGTAATGATGGAAACAACAACAACAACAACCAGTTAAGGCATTACCTGGTTGATAACATCTTTCCAGTGATTTTCATTTTATTTTATTTCTGCCTACGTGACTTTACCGAAAAAACCAAAGAGTATGCATTCCTGCAAGTCACGATGTCACAAAAGGTTGGGTAACCCACCAGGCAGGAAGGAAGTGAGTCCAGATGTTGAGCGTCTCATTTGTGAGGTGAAAGAGACTCAGGATGCAGTCAAAGGCTGAGCTTTTAGGGCATCTATAGCCAGAGATGATGCCATCTTCTTGAAAAGCCTGAGGATATATACAATGAGAAAATGTGCACCAGCTAACACACAAACATCTGAAGAGGTTAAGTTTAATTATTTTGTAACAATTCATGTAAAAACGTAATTAAACTACCGAAAATTGTCATATCGCTTAATATGGCTGTGCAGCTCATTAAAGTTGCACTGTTTTTTCGATTCACGTGTTTCATTTACGACCGTTAAATACGTCGTTTGTGAGTTGTGAAATATTCCTTAAGGACCCTGTACTCGTTCTCTGCGCTAGTGATGTTAGTCTTTTGTTTTAGTTGTTGTTGCCACGCGAACGGCGCAACAGATCTCCCCATGTAAAACAGCCTTCAATCTGGCGAAACGGAATCATCATCATCCATGTAACAAATCAAATTAACTCTACACATATATATATTTTTAAGCCGTTTAAATCATCACAAATACGGAGCAATAAATTAGTCTGCCAAACAAGTTTTATCTCTAGATATTTTTCTCCTTTTTTAAGAGCATGGGTCTTTCCAAATTATGTCAAATGGAAGTCAAATCAGCCCTGTAGCATTGGGTGGGTGGGGGGGGATTGCAGGGCTGGAGGGCCGACGGTCCACTGCTTGACATCGTCAAGTCGAAGCATTTCGATTTAAAGCTTTCGTGACTGCAGGGATTCATCTTCTTGGTTCTTTAGATAAAGTCACGTAGAAGGGAAATAATTAAATAATAAAAATAAAACATAATAAAATACAATTCTCACGACGTTTCGGCCACAACGCAAGCAGCCGCCCTTAGGTGAAGAACAGGTATGTCGGAAAGACAGCGTCTGAATGCCAATCATTCAGAACAGGTCTGTCGGAATGACAGTGTCTGAATGCCATTCATTCTGAATGCCATTCATTCAGACGCTGTCGTTCCGACAGACCTGTTCTTCACCTGAGGACGGCTGCTTGCGTTGTGGCCGAAACGTCGTGAGAATTGTATTTAATGTTTTATTTTTATTATTTTATTATTTCCCTTCTACGTGACTTTACCGAAAGAACCAAGAAGAAGTCAAAGCATGTTGGCTCAGCCGTTAAATCGGAGGGTGAGAGTGACAGCAGAAAGCAAAGCGGACGAAATCATATCACGTCCTCTACTCATTTTGTTCAGTTTAACATTTGTTAAAAACTTGCATGTAGTGTTTAAAAATCGGCAGGAATTCATGTACTTGTGCAATTTATACTTATATACTTTAGTTGTACTTATTAATTTTTAGTGACTTGCTTACCTTTGATAATTGGATTTTTACCCTTTTACCTGGCAACAAAACTGACACCTTTTTTTACAAGGAGTCATGTTTGCATAGACCACAATACCTGCGGTCGGAATGCAAACAAAAAACACAACTCTGATAATGTATGCACTGTCTTTGAAATTGATTGGTCCACACCCGAGACAGCTTTTCTTAGAGCCTAGTCTCACATGGTGTTGGACCAGATGACGTTTTTTGTTTGCATTCCGACTGTAGGCATTGTGGCCAAAGCAAACATGACTCCTTGTAAAAAAAGGCGTCAGTTTTGTTGCCAGATAAAAGGGTAAAAATCCAATTATCATATTTTTTACTGGCAAACGAGGTTCCAATGGTGTAAATGCTTATCCCGAGCTCTCATACTCTGATGGTGCATTGTCTTTGAGTTGTGCGCCTTTTGGCGTCATCTGGTCCAACACCATGTGAGACTAGGCTCTAAGGAAAGCTGTCTCGGGTGTGGACCAATCAATTTCAAAGACAGTGCATACTTTATCAAAGTTGTGTTTTTTGTTTGCATTCCGACCGCAGGTATTGTGGCTAATGCAAATATTACTCCTTGTAAAAAAAGGTGTCAGTTTTGTTGCCAGATAAAAGGGTAAAAATCCAATTATCATATTTTGCTACTGGCAAACGAGGTTACAATGGTTGCTTACCTTTGCTATCCTCTGCACTATCGTGTTTTTGTATTGTTGTTGTTGTAACTTTCTGACCCGCCCCTACTGGGCATCTGTGGAAAAGAGCTTCATAGCTCACCGGATTTCTCCAGGATAAATACATGCTCTGATTCTGATAAAAGTTTGGTTTAACATTGACTGTGCCGCGTGGCCCCCACCCAACTGTATCTGAGTTTGTCCACGCCACCACCCCCTTTAAACTAGATCACGTTCCATAATTGAGTCAATCGCACAATGTTGGCAGGGTATGGCACTGCACTGAACAAAGGTGACCATTCATTCCAGTTTTATCAGAATGGTCCCAATTTACAAAGGCCATCGCGAGCGTCTAATCTTGGCAGTGTGATCATTCGTGCCAATACATCTCTATTGCATGTGTCACTTCAAATGTCGCATGTTTTATTTTATTCTGGAATGCATTCGTATCGGCTCCACCATCTCTGGCAATTTTCATTTCACAGACTTGAATCACTGATTGGCAATGTTGAAAGAAAACTTTTACAGTCGGAGCTGATAAAAACATCAAACTTTCTCACGAGTAGACTTTATTGCATTTTGCTTAAATGTATAACAATTTTATTTCGTTATTATATTTTACAGTGCAATTCCTTTGCACATGGCAATTTGTTTTGCTCTGTGATTATGCAATTATCAGCAATTATCAGACACTGCTGATAATCATCAGCAATGTCTATTTTGCCCTTCATCATTTGCATTTGTTAAAATACATGTGTGTTTGTTTAAATCTCCTTGCATTACCTTACACGAAATAATAATTATCACCATATTCTCTGGATTCTATGATGCTCCGGAAAGTAGGACCCAACGCTGTCAATAAAGTTGTATGAACCCACACACATACCACATCATAAGATGCACCACTCACTTTTGCTTTAAGATACAGGGGATGGGTAGGGGGGTGCGCGTCTTAAAATAAATCCGCAGAATATGTTGCGAAAGTCATTGCTGAATTTTCCATTTCGCTCTTTTGCTCAAACCACATCGCCATTAGCTTTCAAGCCCGGTTCTAATTTTGCAAAAGAAGGGACGTCACCTTAAAGCGCTCTCACCCGATTGTAAATGAGGATCAGGCGCTGTCTATTGATGTTCTCGTTGGCTGTTCAATCAAGCTTCATCAACCCCGCAGCGGACGAGCGAAGTGCTAAGCAATGTCAAACAACTCCTACGGACCGCACTGCGCAGGAAGAGCTCTCACACACAGCTGTTGGCTTGACAAAGGGCTGCACGTGTACATGCATGTGTCCGTGTGAATGATTCAAAGGGCACGGATGCCCTTCCACGCACGCACCTTAGGGACTTGGTGGCTGGAGAGTAGACGAGGTAGTCTGAGGCTTAACATGCTGTCGGTCCGTGTCTTCCACTACTGACGCTGAAGGACTTTACTCGTCACATCCCTGGGCCAAAACATTTCCCTTGTATTTACATATATGCACAAGTAGCAAACAAACATTCCCCTCTGCTTGGCAGCGAGTTTTTTTTTTTGGAACGCTATTGGTGGTTAAACATTGCATAGCCTTATTGAGTTTGATTATACTCACATCTGCACGTCTCAGTAAGTATGTATATATCTATTTTTTAAATATATTTGTTATTTTACCAGGTAAGGCCCACTGAGCTATGTAGCTCTTTTTTGAGAACTGCTTTGGCCACAAATTATAGCTGAAAGAAGTGGCTTCTCATATAGACATTCATAGCAGCAAAATATTCTAAATGCATGTTTCTAAATGTGGAGGGAAAGAAACAGGAGGACCCAGAAAAAAATTCACACAACCACGGGGAGAACATGCAAACTCCAAATATACAAGCATCAGGGTCAGGATCGAACCCATCTACTCCTGCATACCAGGCGAGGGAGTTAGCATCTGGCCACCGCAGTGCCCCGAAATCCACGCTGGTTTAAATAAAGACATTTATTTTCAAATGTACGATAACGACGGATAACTTAGCAGAGCAGTGCGGACATATTATTGAAATTAACTGAACATTTCATAATACCTTTCACTTAACTCATTACTGCATTTCAAATTAACTTCACCTACACTTAAATCGTTTTAAATCTGCGAGCTATAAAAATAAAAATGAAGCACGTAATAATTACGTTATCTCTCATCGGATATAAAAAATAGATATAATTCCAGTCACCCGAGTTGGTGTGAATTATGATTTATGCAGGAGTGCACTGCAGGTAATTGATTGTGACATTGTCTCAGTTTGGCACAAACCTGCACAGATGGGCCCTGCCTGCTGGTCACCCTTAGGCTCGATAACAAATCGAGTTGGCGCATGTTTCACACTGATTGAGTGTCCTCTTTGTATCGCTTGTCAACTATAAATATTCATTAACTACAGATCTGTGTTGCATACAGTTAGGGCTGGATTAAGTTTGATGGGGGGGCCATGGCTATTGTTTTTCTTTTCAGGTGGCGGCGGGGGGGGGGGCCTTGTTTGTATATTAATTTCCTTTGCTGTTTCACCACCGATCAGGCCCGATGCCAAACCCTGCATAATTATTATTTACCTTGGTTGGTTCAATCCTAGTTTTGCGGCAGTTTAAAAGGATGCGACATATTGAACAAAACGATTGTTGGTAAAACATAACGGACAGTAATACTCAAAGATGATGCTATGGCTCTGTTTACCAGATAACGCTGCAGGATTTATCATCGTGATCTCGTATTGCATTTCGGCCATTACGAAGCAGGATGGATTTTTTGGGGCCCTAAAAATCCGAGACCCTGGGCTGCAGCTCCTAAATCCCCCGGGTTAATCCATCCCTGCCCACTGTCGTTTTATCTTGGTATAAATAACTTCCTTTGACCAAATTACCCAAATTGCATGGGAATCATTCGATCTCAAAAGCTAAGCAGATTTCAGTCTGCATAGCGCTCTTTGTATGGGCGGCCATATGTATAACAGGCTCTGGACCTACGGTGTGGGCAGCAGGTGGCAGTGCGGCAACATTCATTATTGTACTGTACTTCTACGCTCACTCATCATTGCTTCCTCACTTTCACCAACCTGCGCTGATCAGCCTGGTGAACCCTGGTCAAACAGCCCAGTGACCTACACAATGTGGGAAGCCTCTCACCCAGCAGGGATGTACATGTACGACTTGTTAGCTTATGTAACATAACGGGTTAACCTTGTAAATTAACAGTTAGTAAAGTGAGTAACAATAGGGAGGAGGGGAGATGGCTCAGAGGCAGCCAATGCAATTCCCAAAACACTGACCTGGCACAGTTGAGACACTGGATTTGAACCTGGGTGAAACCATTCAAGATTAAACCAAGTTCTGAAGTTATAATGAGTTGACAAACGAGATAGTCTCAGCCCAATTAACATTCACTGGACAAAAACGCCCCCAACAAATGTAACTGACTTAATTGTCTCATTCAAGCTCTCCGTTAAACATTGTTTTGCCTTCTTGGTTCTTTCGGTAAAGTCACGTAGAAGGGAAATAATAAAATGATGCTGCTAATCTGCATAATGCACGGGCATAATATGACTTTGAAACCCCCCGCCCACATCCTACGCATTCCATAAGTAGTGACTAATCCCATATCTGCATTTCCCATAAATATGCTAAATTCCTCTGTTGATATGCAAATTCCTTTGTCAAGGCGCCCCTTCCCCCCCTCCAACCCAGCTTAAATATACGCTGCCAAGCTTGGTGGTGTTCATTCAGACGCTGTCTTTCCGACAGACCTGTTCTTCACCTGAGGACAGCTGCTTGCGTTGTGGCCGAAACGTCGTGAGAATTATTTTATAATGTTTAATTTTTATTATTTTATTATTTCTCTTCTACGTGACTTTACCGAAAGAACCAAGAAGATTAATCCCTGCAGTCACGAAAGCTTTAAATCATTGTTTTGCCGATATAAAAATGCGTCCCTATTGTTGCTTGAGAGGCAATCCTCATGTACGAGTTATGTGCTCTCATTTTCCATGGCTGTTCTCTGACACATGGTGGTTCACTGCTCACTGTAAGAGTCCATAATGAAAGTTTATTCTTCTCTTCTTGTATGCCACGGTTTTCAACGTTGTTATATAAAGGGTGTGGGGGGGGGGAAGTGAAAAAACAAGTTCCACTTGTCGGGCTGTGGCCAGATTTCCCAATACTGCACACAGCCACAGCTAGCATTGAGACAACTTTGAGTCCCAAATCATTGGATCGCAACTTTTTGCACTCTTTGCGTTGCAACTGTTTTCAACAATGGATTCCTTTTGATCCCGTTTTTCCTATCTCTGCTCGTTTGGAGTTTTGTTTGCTGTGAAATCCGGAATCTAACATTAGTAGATAATTAGCGATGTAAAAAAAAAGTTAATTCATAAACCATCGATTCTCAAATGCACTATTCAACGTATCGATTGTGAATGTTAAGAATCGATTTTAATTGATGCAGATGGATGCAGGGCAGGTTAGGAAAATTATGCAAGAATTGTGGCAAGCAACTTGAAAGTTTGTAACAGTATATGGCAAGAAGGCAATAGTGGGGTATTGCACGAGTGAGCAGATCTTGAAAGTCATACATCATGTGTATAACTAAAGCATCTGTCGAAAGGAAGAAAGCCATGACAACAATAATCTCTTGGCCTTGATAATGCTGCAATAATGTCTTAAGTTCCACGCAAAGTGCATCGTATGCAGTGCTGTTACAAGCAGCGTCCTCACAGCTGAGTGATGATGTCCACGACAGATTCTTTCCATCTTTGGCAATCTTCTCCAACTGCTCACATTGTCCCAGCAAACTGGCATGAAACAGATAAAAAAAATACAGAAGGTTAATGGGAGATACGTAAACATGGCTGTACTTCTCTGAAATGAAGCTACACATTTTCCTCGAATCTCTCTCACTGGAGCTACATGAGCAGGTGAACATTCACGGCACACTAGGCTCCAAGCCAGATGAAATATTTCGTGACCCTCACTCGCCTGTTGTGACGCCGCTCTCCAAAAACATCCCCGTGTCCCCCGAGCGTTGGCCCAGGAGCAGCCGTTTCACTCGTTGGTTAATCTGCTCTTGATGGATGTTGCTCAAGACGGTTCTTAATCTGGCTCTGGAATCGTGGTGACAAGATGGGGCCGTGGGTGTGTGTGTGGGAGGGGGCATGAACCTGCACTGCGATTGCTACTAAATGGAGCTGGGCTACAACCCCGTGATGCGCCTGACCTACCGCGTGTGCTCGTGACCATATGCCAGCAATGCAACGGTGCAACAATTCATCAGTCAAGATTGATGAATCACTCACAATGCAATGCAATACAATTGAACAATTTACAAACCTCGTTTTAGATTGTCATTGCTGAACTTTAATCCACGACCCGTATTAGCCGTGACTCCTATTTCCCTATTATCCACGGCTGTCTTCTTCCTATTAGTATCTGTAATTAGCCATGAGTTTTCCGCATCCTACTTTGCTGAATAGCTTCCAATTATCTGCACATTTTTCCACGGATAAAAGGAATAAGTGCAGAAAATGTCTTCTATAATTCACGATTTTTTCCCTCCCCTCAAGGGAAAGTGGAGTAAATACACTGTTAACATCTCGGCTAATAGGATCTGCCATGTTTGTCCTTTACATCCCAGCCGATTAAGGGGCTCTCATAGTATTTAAGTGCAACCGCACTTTGAGAATCTCTACAAAATAGGACATCTCCATGACAGGGAGCTACATACAGTGATTCATACTCTTAGTTCTTTCGGTAAAGTCACGTAGGTTGCCTCCGAAACGTCGTGATTTTATTATCACAGTGACGGTCTCACCTGATGACGGAGACTTGTGTTGCCTCCGAAACGTCGTGATTTTATTGTTTTATTTTTATTAATTTTAATTTAATTTTTTACCTACGTGACTTTACCGAAAGAACTAAGAGTATGAATCCTTGCCGTCACGAAAGCTTCAAATCTAGAATACATACAGTGAGTATTTTTAAGAGACAGTATAGCCATTGAATTCCACCCGCGATAATATATTGATGATTCATGCAATTTTTATGTAGACCACTCGCTAAAGTTACTTTTTAAACTAATGGAGTGAACATAGCTCTATGAAAGAAACTCTTTTTTTACCCAAAATCGTATAACTTTGATTAATTCAAAGAATGTTTTAAACCTTTTGATAGTGCTGCTTGTTGCTGGTCACTTGGTGTTTTGGGGAATTTTGGACCCATGCTCAACAGCCATGATTTAAAGAAGCAAAGAATGGGAAACATTAAACATTAAAAATTCACCAATTCGCTGGGCGAGAAACGGTGGTCACCATGCCTTTGACATCCACCCACGCAAATGGTCGCAGAGTTTCTGATACTCACAATGTGTATATTTCCACGGTGCACAACTCACCTTCAAAAGGCAATGCAGAATGTTCCTTTTTAAAACAATAACTGCAACAACAACAAAAACACATTAACCAAACGCCTTTTCTCCCCTCGCATTTAGGGAGGCAAGTCACAAAAAAATAAGCCGGCAACCCTTTGTGCAACCTACCCTCATGGGGGGGGGGGGGGGGGCAGTGATTATATAACACGATTGTTAATGCGCAGCAATTCCCTTTTTGTGCCCATAGCCACTGGCTGCTTATTATTATTCAGCACACAAGAAGTAGGGACATTGTCTGGTCTTGCTCACTCCCCGGGCAACAAAAGTGGGTCTCTCTCGCACTGCCACCCTTGGCTTGCCAGGCTGCGGAATGTCATCTGAATGGTACACTGCGTTCCCTCTGTCCCCACTTCCACGACAACGCACAGATATTATGGAGATGCCAAAAGAGGAAAGTTCACATTTAATCTCATTAATTCCCCGAGCATTTGCAAGGCCATGTCCCCTTACGTGCCGACGTGAAGCGTTTCGGGCGCACAAAAGAAGCTCAGTTTGTGCACAATGTTCATGCTGTATGGCCTGATCAACACTGTACATTTGTGGGCAGGGAGAGGATTCTACTAATGCTCTCTTGTCACGGTGTGACGCCAGGACCTGTGTTCAAGCCCCAGCGCAAGTTTAGCTTTGGTGTTCAATTAGTCCCTGTGTTCAGAGACGTTGACATCACCAAAAACTTAAATCTCTCCAACAATAATGTCTCAGTTTTGACCTCGTTATGTGACAAAGTAGTCAGTTATAATGCATACTGTGTGAGCAATGAACACAATACAATTATTGTATTATGCATGACTCTTTCTTCAGCCGCAAAGTTTGCACTTCCAGAAACTGTTCGATTTTGTGGGGCAAATCCGAGGCTGTATATTTGTTTGTTACTTTATTTATATTATTACCCCACATTAAGGGACACCCAGGGTTAAAATCTTCCACTTGATATTTTCCAGAATGCCACGAGGCTGGATTGATATAGGGAGTATTAGCATAAGGGACTACTCCTCGACAACAAGGTATGCCAGTCAATAATCCTACATAAGTGCAGACGATTACTTTGCGTGAGGAAATTTTTTTTTTTGCACCCACCACAGGATCATGAGAATCAAACAAGGCAACGTGGACATGGCTTCGTGCCAAAACAATTCCCTTCACAGTGTTCTGGGCTGTTCCGGCTGAAATAAAATATTGCTTTTTAACTTCTTCCACTGATGCATTGCAAAATGTACACTTCTGCAAATGAAGAACTCTCGATGCAAGTACAGTAGATACATGTTTTTTTATCCGTTAAAGTGGTTGCTGCATTTTCCGGCTTAGACGATTACAACACGCACACATTGAACGAACGTGCTAAAACCTGGGAACTGTTGTTTGACGGGCACGATTTGCATGTGTCATTTTCACCATGAAAACGATCGCTGAGTGTGGAAAAAAGCCCCACAAACAAGCGAGACCTCGTATTCAACCTCAAATGAGTACATTTGCGTAATTGCAGGGCCCAACATAGTCAGACAAGCCGTGGCGTGTCGGCCACAAAGCGAAGCTGTACAGTGGAGATGGATCTGTCATGGCACTGTAATGAGCAAGCAAGCAAGCCTACACCGCACAAGAGAAGACACACCCTTTAGCCCAACGATGATCTCAGACATTTAAACATCCATCAAAATCTCAGACGCGTCGCGATTCTAGCGTCGGACGCGTATCAGCTACCACTATTGCTGTGAAATCCGCAAGGCTGTAGTGGTATTTTCATTGTTTTCTCTCTATATATATACACACACTGGCTCTCGTAAAAAACTACTATGGCAGGCTCGCCAAAATGCGTGGCAGTTGTCCAGCTCTCCAGCCGGTATAGAAACGTGTTCACACACACACACACGTCATTACATTCAATTAGGGATTTGTTTTAAGTATGGTTTTGTATTCCAAATGAACAAAATCCACGCATGGAGAGAGAAAAAAACACGGCATGTGTGCACAACACAATCAGGCGAAATGGGACACCTAGATTCGGTGGCCTCAATATAAAGGTCACGATTGCTACGCGGTCCTCTTAGCTGCTTCACACTGGGACAACACAAATTACTTTACTTTTAATCTTAAAATCAAAATTGGACTTGCATCTCGAGGTCGGAATGGCTCTAAAACAGCTCTTATACTGGTAGGAACCTCCTGGTTACACCAGCCCACAGGGGATTGTTGTGTCCGTCCGTCGTGCATCCAAAAATGGGAGGGGTGGGGCTGGGTGGGGAGGGAGCGGCTGGGTGGGGGGTGGGAGGGGTGGGGCTGGGTGGGGAGGGGCTGGTCACCCCGTGGTGCCCTTATAAAACTCAACATTTAACCTACTCACGCTGGCTTGTGCCCGCCCTCACAGTCGGCCATATTTGTGGAATACACCACGCCGCCGTTGACCCTGGCCATTGACCGAGCAACCCAACGTTCCTACCAGCTCCCTCCGCAGGAATGTGTTAACCCTCTCCGATGTGTTTGTCGGGTTGTATTGCGTGTTGCTTGGCATGCTGTAGGACGCTTCCCTCCACGTGCGAGGAGCTACTTCAGGAACTGTAGATCCCAGCATCATTTACATCTTACCCCCCCCTCCCTCCCCTTTTTACACGTGCAAATAAATACACTTTGAGACATAAATGCCAATTTTGTCCACACATTAAGTAGAATCCCACCTTTTGAACTGGACATAACTTATGCAGACGTTATGTTACAGGCATTGCGAATGGTGCAGAATAAGTTTATTAGTTCTTTTCTCAGTCCACTTGTCCTCGAGAGGGTCGCGGCGGCAGCGTGTTGAGTAGGGTAGTCCAGACCTCCCTTTCCCAGGCGACAGACTCCAGCTCTTCCTGGGGAATTCCCAGGAGTACCCAAGCCAGCCAAGGGACATAGTCCCGCCAGCGTGTCCTAGGCCGGCCCCGGGGCCTTTGCCCAGTGGGACATGCCCGGTAGCGTTCCAGGGGGAGTCTACTGGAGGGCATCTTTACCAGGTGCCTGAATCACTTCAACTGGCTCCTCGCGATCCAGAAGAGCAGCGGCTCGACTCTGAGGCTCTCCCGGATTACCGAGCTCCTCGCCCAATTACGGAGAGTGGTGAGCCCGCCAACCTTGCGGAGAAACCTTATTTTGGCCCCTTGTATCCGTGATGTCATCCTTTCGGTCATTACCCAAAGCTCATGGCCATAGGTGAGGGTGGGAATGTAGATCGATTAGTAAACCGAGAGCTTTGTTCGAGAACTCAGCTCCCGCTTCACGACCACGGAATGGTTTAGTGCCCGCAACACTGCGGACACCGCACCGATCCGCCGGCCGATCTCCCGCTCCCACTTACCATCACTCGCGAAAGAAACCTCGAGGTACTTAAACTCCTCCACTAAAAGCAGTTGTTCCCCCCTTACCTGGAGAGAACAATCCACCATCTCCCGGGAGTGAACCATGACCTCAGATTTGGAGGTGCTGTGCCTCATCCCAGAAGCTTCACACTTGGCATCAAACCGTTCAAGTGCATGCTGGAGATTACAGACTGATGAGGCAAAGAGGACAATGTCATCTGCAAGAAGCAGCAACACCACCTCCATGCCTCTGCACTGGATACTCTGCATACCTAGGCTGCGCCTTGATAGCCTGTCCATGAAAATCACAAACAGGAGTGGAGACAAGACGCACCCTTGGCGGAGACCAACACAAATAGTGAGCGAACAACTTGATTTACCATCAAGTTTACGGACACAGCTCTCACTCCGGGAATAGGGGGATCGGATAGCGTACAAAAGCGTCACCGGTACATCATACTCTTGCCGGATAAGTGCAAATTATTATTAAACGTTGGACGTATTGCTGAACAACACAACATAAATTGCATCGGAGAGCGGTGGAGCACAGTCGTGAGAGCCCACGCTACAACCTCTGCCACACAAACCGTACGTGCCCAGCGAGTATCTCCATGCACACAAAGTGGCTCCATACGGCACCTTTAAACCAGCGGCACCACGGCCTCTCGTGTGACCCCCTGGACAGCCGTGAAATGTCAAGGACTCGTATCGAATTTGCCGTTTCCTCTAATCTAACCCATGAAGGGGGCAACTACCATATTGCAGTACCCCACAATTCTCGCACTCCCCCTGTCCATGCACTGTTTTACTTTGGTTCTTCTGCCCATCGTCTATTTTCCCACATTCCTATAACCGTGACTTGATCCAAGAAACACATTAGCCCTTATCTGTTGGGCTATCGTTGGTTATCTCTGTTGCGAGCCATCCTGCATTATAGGCTCTTGGGCTTAGGCTCAGCAACCGTGATTTAAAAACGCATTAAACGAATTGATCCGTCGCTTAAGATACTGCCCTTACGCTCACAATACACGTATACAAATTATGCATATGATTGTTTCCTTACAAAGTATGCAATTTGTTGCATGTCCGAGAATACGCCCCAACGTGGAGATGGAGTGATGAAATCAGCTCGTGTGCGGAAGCTAGATGGATTTTACATCTCAAAACCGTGGGAGATGGTGATGACTTGGCAAGGACATAAGCAAAGAGTCGATAGATCGTGGCCGATTCTAACGACGACGATGATGATGATGGAGAAAACAACCGTGTCAACAAGATGGAACAAAAGGGACACGATTCCGATTAAAACGATTGTAAAATTAGGCAAATAAATAATTAATGATTGAATCGAACTGCAACCCAAACCGTGCCAATTTGCCAATGAATGGCTACATGCCTCGGCCTTGGGACCCCATCGGTACACACAGGGAGAAATGTTTGCCGATCAAATCTATGTTATTTGGCACTCTTCAATGTAACTCAATACATGTACGGATATCATACAACATAAAAAGGGGGACACATAACCCCTTTCTCATGCGCAACACAAAAACGACATCTTTGGACTATTTGAATGCTTCCGCACATAGCCATTTGTCGTGTCCATTTTCGTCCGCGCATTTAGAAGAATCCCACTATTTCACCCGCGCATAACTCCCACAGAGTTTACAAGAGGAAAAGCGAGGACCTTTTATAAGCATAACTTGGCAGTGATATGTCTTGTGTCAATGGTGTCTAAAAAAAAGCACATCTTCCGAGACGGTCTTTTTTTCTTTCAGTTTACAGTCCAATGCCATGAACGGTGAAGGGACAGGGATTAACATTTGTGCGGCTGCAAATAAGATTCCAAGCACATTTCTCTCCAGCTAGACACCCACGCATTGAGCCCTCATTGTGGTGGTGTTGTCTTTGCAGACGGCCACGCACACATTTGGCTTGCGCTGCATGCCAGGTCTTAGGGACACCGCGTGTAAAATGTACACACACGTTTAATTAAAAAAAAACTTCCTTAAAATATGTGTTAAGTAAATGTGCAATGTCAACGGCGTCTGTTTAAAAAAATTAAATGCGTGAACAATTATGTGATGTATGCCTCCTGGAAACTGTACTGCAAAGGCGTACAGTATGCTTGCCAAAAAAAAATCCTACACTCCACAAAACTATTCGGCTGCTGCTGCGTTGGCAGTGGTCGCCGAGTACAAATAACATAAAACCTCAACACATTTGTCAAACCATGGGATTAAAATAACAAATATGTGATGAGGGGGGGGGGTGACATGTGATAGGCGACGTTTCCATAACACGCGACGAATCCTGTAGAGGACGCGGTTGTCCGTGCGAAACAGAAAGTGCCACTGCCCAAAAGATTCGCCTATTATATATATGGCACACGAAGCAGATGTCACTTGTAATAAAATAATGAAAAAAAATCCAGATTGTATCGCAGAGAAACATTCACAAACGTCAACTGAAGATAATAAAACCAATTGCGCACAATGTCTACAAGCGATGTAAACGCCAACCATCTGTAGATTTCCGTTTTCGCTCTTTTACAAAGTTACATAACTGTTCATATTCTTAGGTTTTTTCGGTAAAGTCACGTAGGTAAAACATATAAATTAATAAAAGTAAAATAAAATCAAAATCACGACGTTTCGGAGGCAACACAAGCTTCCGTCTTCAGGTGGAACCGTCACAGCCACGACAGCTGTATCAAGTAAATTTACAGCCACGACAGCTGTCTTCTTGGTTCTTTCGGCAAAGTCACGTAGAAGGGAAGTAATAAAATAATAAAAATAAAACATTATAAAATAATTCTCACGACGTTTCGGCCACAACGCAAGCAGCCGTCCTCAGGTGAAGAACAGGTCTATCGATAAGACAATCTTCATCTGAGGACGGCTGCTTGCGTTGTGGCCGAAACGTCGTGAGAATTATTTTATTGTTTTATTTTTATTATTTTATTACTTCCCTTCTACGTGACTTTACCGAAAGAACCAAGAAGATGAATCCCTGCAGTCACGAAAGCTTTAAATCACGACAGCTGTATCAAGTAAATGTACTTGATACAGCTGTCGTGGCTGTGACGGTTCCACCTGAAGACGGAAGCTTGTGTTGCCTCCGAAACGTCGTGATTTTTATTTTATTTTTTATTAATTTTAATGTTTTACCTACGTGACTTTACCGAAAAAACCTAAGAATATGAATCCTTGCAGTCACGAAAGCTTCAAATCTAGAATTACATAACTGTGTTTTTTTTTCATCTCTCCCGCTCGTGAAAACAAAAGACACGGAGGTAAAAAGTTGGCAAAAAGCACTCGTGGTGAACCTTTTGTAGGTGGCACGCAGTGCGTCGGCAGTGAAAGCACTTGAACTTGAATTAAAACAGTTGAAGTCGCAGCGTAACAAATCACACAACACACCAGCTGGAAGCTCCAAGCAACCTTCACTTCTTATTTGTTTAACATTCCTCCTCTAAGGGCCATGGTCGTCCGTTATCTGCAATATTTGACTTCCCCCCGTCTTCCGTTCGTGGTTACCTCTGTAACGCCACGGATATCCCGTGTAAAATAACCAAGAAACTGGCCTGAAACGGGATAATTCGTGCCACAAATTAAAACATGAACCTCAAACACCGCGTGTTTTATATCATCCGCAGTCATCCAGGGTCTTTGGCAGTACACCGCCAGCAGCACCTTCAATCAATGCCCGCGTGGGTCTGCTCACACTTCTTTATACAACAGCCGCTTTCTCCCGAATTAAGACCCAAGACGCAAGATAACACAAACACACACACACGCAAACCAAAACAACGAATTCTGCACGGTAAGAAAGGCGAGACGAGAAAACCGGTGAACTTGTCCACAACTCCGATGCTGGGTTTTTACACAAGCCAGCAAAAGCCAGCATCGCGTGTCCAGAATGCACGCAACATCATCATCGCACGCATCATCATCATCATCATCGCACGCAACATCATCATCATCATCGCACGCAACATCATCATCGCATGCATCATCATCATCGCACGCATCATCATCATCATCATCGCACGCATCATCATCATCATCGCACGCATCATCATCATCATCGCACGCATCATCATCATCATCGCACGCACCATCATCGCACGCATCATCATCATCGCACGCATCATCATCATCGCACGCATCATCATCATCGCACGCATCATCATCATCATCATCGCACGCATCATCATCATCGCACGCACCATCATCATCATCGCACGCACCATCATCATCATCGCACGCAACATCATCATCGCACGCATCATCATCATCGCACGCATCATCATCATCGCACCATCATCATCATCGCACGCACCATCATCATCATCGCACGCACCATCCTCATCGCACGCACCATCATCATCATCGCACGCATCATCATCATCGCACGCACCATCATCATCGCACGCAACATCATCATCGCACGCATCATCATCATCGCACGCATCATCATCATCGCACCATCATCATCATCATCGCACGCACCATCATCATCATCATCGCACGCACCATCATCATCATCATCGCACGCACCATCATCATCGCACGCACCATCATCATCATCGCACGCACCATCATCATCATCGCACGGACCATCACCATCATCGCACGCACCATCACCATCATCGCACGCCCCATCATCATCATCGCACGCACCATCATCATCGCACGCCTCTCTCTCCCCTAAGCCGCCCCACATTGAAGAAGCAAAAAGAGGCGCGTTTGGGGGGGGGGGGTTGTGGTGAGAAGGCTCCAAACAAACTCGCAAAGGCAGAGGGCAATAAGACGAAACGTCGAAACTCTGCTCAAATCGCGATGGCTCAGCCCTTCTCTCCGCTTACCTCTGTCTCTTCCACCCTCCCCCCAACACACACACACCCAGTGTGGCAAGAGCCCTCTCTCTCGCTTAACTCCGTGGGAAAGGAGTTCTTACTTTCTTACTTCAACAAAACTCCCTTCCCCATCCTCCTCGCCTCGCTCGCAACTTCCTCGCGCCTGTCCGGGGGGCGTCGGCGCCGCGAGCCGCGGAGTTGGCGGCAGGGACCTCCCCCAGACGCGGGGCCGGCGCCCAATCGGAGCGGCACCGCCGAGGCGTGGCACCTCGCGAGAGAGGCGAGAGAGGGGAGAGAGCGCACACACAACGCGTGCGGGTGGAGGAGATTCCACCGCCGTGTGCTGCTTCAGCCCCTGCCACTGCTGCCCTTGCCGCTTCAACCCCTGTCGCTTCAGCCCCTGCCACTGCTGCCCCTGTCACTTCAACCCCTGCCACTGCTGCCCCTGCCACTGCTGCCCTTGCCACTTCAGCCCCTGTCACTTCAACCCCTGTCGCTTCAACCCCTGACGCTACTGCCCCTGCCACTTCAACCCGTCACTTCAACCCCTGTCACTTCAGCCCCTGACGCTACTGCCCCTGCCGCTACTGCCCCTGCCACTACTGCCCCTGCCACTTCAGCCCCTGTCACTTCAACCCCTGTCGCTTCAACCCCTGTCGCTTCAACCCCTGTCGCTTCAACCCCTGTCGCTTCAGCCCCTGACGCTACTGCCCCTGTCACTTCAACCCCTGTCACTTCAACCCCTGTCACTTCAGCCTCTGTCACTTCAACCCCTGTCGCTTCAGCCCCTGACGCTACTGCCCCTGCCACTGCTGCCCCTGTCACTTCAGCCCCTGTCACTGCTGCCCCTGTCACTTCAACCCCTGTCACTTCAGCCCCTGTCACTTCAGCCCCTGTCACTTCAGCCCCTGTCACTTCAGCCCCTGACGCTACTGCCCCTGTCACTTCAGCCCCTGTCACTTCAGCCCCTGACGCTACTGCCCCTGCCACTTCAACCCCTGTCACTTCAACCCCTGTCACTTCAACCCCTGTCACTTCAGCCCCTGTCACTTCAGCCCCTGTCACTTCAGCCCCTGCCACTGCTGCCCCTGTCACTTCAGCCCATGCTGCCCCTGTTACTTCAGCCCCTGTTACTTCAGCCCCTGTCACTTCAGCCCCTGCCACTTCAGCCCCTGTCACTTCAACCCCTGTCACTTCAGCCCCTGTCACTTCAGCCCCTGTCACTTCAGCCCCTGCCACTGCTGCCCCTGTCACTTCAGCCCCTGCTGCCCCTGTTACTTCAGCCCCTGCCACTTCAGCCCCTGTCACTTCAGCCCCTGTCACTTCAGCCCCTGTCACTTCAACCCCTGTCACTTCAGCCCCTGTCACTTCAGCCCCTGTCACTTCAGCCCCTGTCACTTCAACCCCTGTCACTTCAGCCCCTGTCACTTCAACCCCTGTCGCTTCAACCCCTGTCGCTTCAACCCCTGTCACTTCAGCCCCTGTCACTTCAACCCCTGTCACTTCAGCCCCTGTCACTTCAACCCCTGTCGCTTCAACCCCTGTCACTTCAACCCCTGTCACTTCAGCCCCTGTCACTTCAACCCCTGTCACTTCAACCCCTGTCACTTCAACCCCTGTCACTTCAGCCCCTGTCACTTCAACCCCTGTCACTTCAGCCCCTGTCACTTCAACCCCTGTCACTTCAGCCCCTGTCACTTCAGCCCCTGTCACTTCAACCCCTGTCACTTCAGCCCCTGTCACTTCAACCCCTGTCGCTTCAACCCCTGTCGCTTCAACCCCTGTCACTTCAACCCCTGTCACTTCAGCCCCTGTCACTTCAACCCCTGTCACTTCAGCCCCTGTCACTTCAACCCCTGTCACTTCAGCCCCTGTCACTTCAACCCCTGTCGCTTCAACCCCTGTCACTTCAGCCCCTGTCACTTCAACCCCTGTCACTTCAGCTCCTGTCACTTCAACCCCTGTCACTTCAGCCCCTGTCACTTCAACCCCTGTCACTTCAGCCCCTGTCACTTCAACCCCTGTCACTTCAGCCCCTGTCACTTCAACCCCTGTCACTTCAACCCCTGTCACTTCAGCCCCTGTCACTTCAACCCCTGTCGCTTCAACCCCTGTCGCTTCAGCACCTGTCGCTTCAGCCCCTGTCACTTCAGCCCCTGTCACTTCAGCCCCTGTCACTTCAACCCCTGTCACTTCAACCCCTGTCACTTCAACCCCTGTCGCTTCAGCCCCTGTCGCTTCAGCCCCTGTCACTTCAGCCCCTGTCAATTCAGCCCCTGTCACTTCAACCCCTGTCACTTCAACCCCTGTCACTTCAACCCCTGTCGCTTCAGCCCCTGTCACTTCAGCCCCTGTCACTTCAACCCCTGTCACTTCAACCCCTGTCACTTCAACCCCTGTCACTTCAACCCCTGTCGCTTCAGCCCCAGCCACCGCTGCCCCTGCTTGACCTGACCCCTCATCGTTCACACGGGCGGTGGAACTTAGCGCCTAGCAAATGAAACATTCCAGCCAAGCCACCGCAGTGGGTATATTGTTTCAGAGGGTGTACACACACACACACACGGTATACAGGAGAAATTAAATTATCTACGACACAGTTGGTTGTCTTTCGTGTTTTGCGGATCCCATGCAAATCTGTTGTTGTGTTCAAAAGAAGAAGAAACACCTTCACCTGAGGACGGCTGCTTGCGTTGTGCCCAAAACGTCGTGAGAATTTTATTTTATTGTTTTATTTATATTATTTTATTATTTCCCTTCTACGTGACTTTACCGAAAGAACTAAGAAGAAGAAACACTATCTCATTGAATGGTTTATTTGTTTGGGAAATAAGAGTTGGTCTAAACTAAAATAAGCATTGATTGGGATATACATGATCGGCAGTGCTCAGTGTTTCCCTTGTATATGCTGGTAAAGGCTAACTAGAAAAAGCATACATTTTAGCGGGGTTGAGCCTGGTAAATACTTTGAGTGGGAATACAGGGTGCGATATGCTTGGGCTTTAAGATGGCCATTAGGATGGTAGTTACGTAATGGATTGTACGACTGTGTCTGTGCGGAGCTTTTGAGAGTTACGAAATCCATAAGAGGTTTTTTTTTGGGTTAGATCGCGTAAAAATACGAATGTGTCGTCAAAACCCACCACCACCCAACACAGCCAACTAGTAAGAGTTGTCACGTAAACAGAACGTGGCCAATTCGTCACTAGTACAGCACTACCGGTGTGTTGGAGAGCCACAACATTTACAATCTGAGTACGACGTTTCGCCAGTCATTACAACTAGCTTCATCAGGCGACAGCCAGATTTGTGGAGATGTCTACCTGTTTCGTTCCTTATATAGAGGCGTAGATGTGGTGACCACGCTTGGGCGCTCTTGCGCAAAGTGGGGGAGGGTTAATGAGTCAACGTCGCTTTAAGTGACTTAATGTGATGAGTTACTGTAACTGCGTGCGGTATTACCTTTGAATATTTGCATCATTTTGAGGAACGCCAGTGAAGACAGCTTCATTCGCTTAATTCAGAGTTTCTCCAATTTTCTGGTTTGAAGAAAAATATCCTTCCCACCTCCTCAAATGCTTGCGTTTGCTCTCGGTCGTCTGGTTTCTTTCGCCAAACTAAACACTCACCAATGTAATTGGCCAAACGTCGCAATGCAGGAATTCTTGGGTTATTACTGTTAATAGCTTTTGTGTGCTCAATTACTCGTGTAACCTCGTACAAATGTACGGAACTGTATGCGTTTATTTCGATGTATTTGATGCATTACACACGGATGAACTCGTTTAGCCAGTTGCCTGCATATTTTACAAGAAAGATCCGTGGCGCGTAAACACAGCAACAGAAACAAAAGACAAAAACATCAATATTGCAGAGAACGAGTTACATGATCCTTACATAATTTTGCACACCTTACAAACGAGGTGGTAAACGGTGGTAAACGATCAAAGCAAGCAGGTTTCGGTATCGGACGCGTCATTACAAGGAAATACGGACGACCGATGATCAATAATAAATAATAGAGTGCCAGCCAAAAAAATGGGACGCGTCCGAGGGGAATATTACAGCACGGGATCGGCGTGCATGTTGAACTTCTTTCGCACCGTACGTAGCCAACCGTGCTAATCGGAGGTGCGTTGGAAGGACAACAAACTCAACACAAAAGGCTGTTATAGAGAAATGAGGCTTGGGTAAGCCTTCGTCCAGCAGTGGATTGACCATGGCTAAAGATAATGATGATGTGGTGACACCGACCAGAGTGCTGCTAATATATCCGTGAGTATGTGTGATTGTTTTGTGATTAATGAGATCTCCGTGACCCGGGAATGCAGTGGCTGAGCTGAGTGGGGGCTGCTCTGTGATGAGGAAACCACTGCATCTGCTCATACGCTGAAGTCTTTCATCACTCACCACCCATCAGATTATCAATACGGCAACTGAAGGAAGGCAGACGTGATGAGCATGAGACCGAATGCCATTAATTTACGAATGTACAGAATTATTCCTGCATATGATTAATCTTGCGGCTTGGTTAAACCAATACATTTCCGAAAATGCAATGGAAAATATATTCACAATCATTGTCATGCAACTGTGTTGCTATGCTGGTGTCCAATACATCTTAAACTTTATTTAAAAAATTAAAACATTCGTGTTGTGTATAAGTGATTATATTTTGCTTTGTCTCACAGGCAGCATCAATCACGAGTTAATGTATGCATTACATCTGCCAACTAAGCCTTAATTGCACCATACATGTATTAAAAACCTTGCGGGTAAGAACACTGCCTTTGTTCTATATTAAACTCTTTTTTTCTGCAGGGAGTTTCAAGTCTTTGTGCCCAATTTATCTCTTTAATTATCAATTGCTTTAATTGGATATGGTGTTAAAAAAAGATGCAATAATGCTGGGATCGTAGGGTGTTTATGCACATCTATCAACACACCATCTCATTGATCGCTGTGACTTCAAAAATGTGTTTATAACCACAGTATGCTCATCTGTCATAATTTACTAACACTTTGAATATACATATACGGTATGGAAGCGTAGGCGACATAATCTCCCTCTACAGGAGGCCCTGTCGCCAGCAGTGGCATGAGCAAGGAATTGCAGGGCTGCACGTTTACCTTTCATACAGCGTGTAACTACTAAAAGCATAT